TTTTTTAATTACTCATTATTCAATTTATCTTCAGTCGTTTCCATAATTTTATTTATCCATTTATGAGTTTATCAGTATTCTTCATTCATTCATTCATTCATTCATTCATTCATTTCCACACGTATCCACCTATTCATTATTTATTTTTATTATTAAAATTCGATCATCGAGCATCATTTTTCTTAACTTTATTCATGCATTCATGATCTTATGCTCATTGATATTCACTCATTCATTATTTCACCCTCATCATAAATCATTCATTCTTCATTTTATTCTTGTTATTATTCACTTATTCATTATTTCATCCTCATCATTTATCACTCATTCTTCATTTTATTCTCGTCATTATTCACTTATTCATTATTTTATCCTCATCATTCATCACTCATTCTTCATTTTATTCTCGTCATTATTCACTTATTCATTATTTTATCAGCATCATCATTATTCACTCTTCCATCGTCGTATCCTTATCATTCATTATATCATCTTCATCTTAATAAATGCAAATTATTAGTCTTATTGTTATCATTACATCATACCAGTACTAAACCAGTATCACAGTAATACCACACTAGTACCATACCAGTGCCACGCCAGTATCATATCAGTGTCATATCAGTACCATACTAGTACTACGCTAGTATAATACCAGTACCTCACCAGATCTATACCAGTACCAAACCAGTACCATACAAGGACAATACTAGTACCATACCAGTACCACACACAAGTACCATATTAGTATCACACACCAGTATAATACCAGTAGCACGCCAAATGTATACCAGTACCATACTAGTGCCATATAAGTACCATACGAGTACTATATCAGTACTATGCCAGTACCACACCAGTACCACACCAGTACCACACCAGTACCACTCTCTAGTACCACACACCAGTACCACATAAGTGTCATACCAGTACCATGCCAGTACCACACCAATACCATACTAGTACCACACCAGTATAATACCAGTACCACGCCAGATCTATACCAGTACCATACAAGTACCAAACCAGTACCATACAATTACCATACTAGTACCATATCAGTACTATGCCAGTACCATACCAGTACCACACACCAACACCACACACCAGTACCACACACCAGTACCATACCAGTTCCTCTAAGCCATATACCGGGCCAGGATCTGTACAGTTACAAGTTACTAGTTACCTGGCCTACCTCCCCCCCCCCCCCCCCCCCTCTACTCCCTCTGCCCCCCGGCTCACGTGATCCTTTTGGTGAATAAATCGAGCGGAAACAGGCCCTCGGATCCTTCTAGAATCCTATTTATGGCTCTTGTTGGCGTCGAAGGATTAGGTTTCGATCGTCTATGGCGATTCTCTTTTGTTTCTTTTTTGTGCTTATACTTTTGTTTAGGTTTTTTCGTTTATTTTTTTTCTGGGGGTGGGAAGGGGGGGGGGAAAGGAAGAGAAATTGAGAAATATGATTCGTAGATAAATATGAGAGTAGTAATATGTAGAAATGAGGAGAAATAAGTGAAAGGAAAAAAAGGGAAGAACGATAATACGGAAGGGATCTCACAATTTTAACTTCTTGGTTGTATGGGTTCGCTCGCCCGCACTTCCTGTCTGGAAATGGTGACGTCACGGTACAATCCTCTCCCCCCCCCCGTACCCACCCCCTCACCTCCACCCTTAATACCGCCCCCCCCCACCTCCAGCCTCACCCTCACCCATCTCCATCTTTCATCTTTATCCTTATTTTAAACTCACCCTCACTTTCTCCCTTACTGATTTCTACTCATTTCTTCTCTTCTTTTTACTCACTCATCTTTATCCTCCTCGTTTTTTGTCTTTCTCCCTCTTACTCTTACTCTTACCCCCCCCTTTCCCCTTACTTCCCTCACTCCCTCATTCTCCCCCACCCTTATTCTTACTCCAACACTCCCTCATTTTCCCCCTCACTCCTTCTTTCTCCCTTATCCTTTCTCTTTCTCCAAAACTCCCTACTTTTCCCCTCACTATCTCCTCTCCCCCCTTTCCCCTTACCTCCCCCACTCCCTCATTCTCCCCCACCCTTATCCTAACTTTTTCTTTACCTTCTCTTCTCCTCTCGCCCCCACCTCCCCCTCTCACCCAAATCTTTCCCCTCTCACCCTCACTTCCCCCCTTACCCCCACTTTCCCCTCTCACCCCCACCCTTCCCCTCTCCCTACACTCCTCTAACCCCCCCCACCCCACCCCCCTTCGACCTCGAGCCAACCAGGAAGCAACAATACAGAAAAGTGGGCGGGATTGGGAAATACAAAAAAGGTGGGCGTGGTGAAAAGAGAAAGGAAAAAAAATACATACAAGTGCTGGGCGGTTTATATGGGCGTGAAAGATGAAAATCCGCGGACGGGCGTGAGAGACGTGAGAAGGAAGAATGATGGGCGTGAGAGACATGGTCGTGGGTGGGGTAGATGTCATCATTCATAGGCGAGAGGTATTCGATTCGTGGGCGTGAGAAGGGTCAGAAAGAAAGAAAGAGTGGGCGTGATGAATAGGGAAAAAACAAAAAGAGATGAAAGCGTGGGCGTAAAAATCGAAATAGATGAGCGAGGCCAAAAAACCCATAGACACGAAAAAGCAAACAAAAAGAGAGAGAGAGAGAGAGAGAGAGAGAGAGAGAGAGAGAGAGAGAGAAAGAGAGAGAGAGAGAGAGAAAGAGAGAGAGAGAGAGAGAGAGAGAGAGAGAGAGAGAGAGAGAGAGAGAGAGAGAGAGAGAGAGAGAGAGAGAGAGAGAGAGAGAGAGAGAGAGAGAATGAGAGAGAGAGCGAGAAAGAAAGAACGAAAGAAAGAAAGCACGAAAGAAAGAAAGAAAGAAAGAGAGAGCGAAAGAAATAGAGAGAGAGAGAGAGAGAGGAACGAGAGCTAGCATGGGCGTGAGAACGAAGAAAATCCCGAAATGAAGACGAGACCGTGGGCGTGAGAAAGTGTGGCCCTGTTTGTAGACCAAGCACCGTTCTGGTTCATTAATGTTCTCAAAATACACAAAATGTTCATTCTTGTAAATATCATCCGTCACTTGTTCTGTTTGTGAACATTTCCTTGGAGTAATCTATCATCGTCTATCTCTTCCCTTATTATTCTATTTACCTTTTTGTCTTTCGTGCATTTTTTTCTTTCTATTTTTGTTCTGTTTTCTCTCTCTCTCTCTCTCTCTCTCTCTCTCTCTCTCTCTCTCTCTCTCTCTCTCTCTCTCTCTCTCTCTCTCTCTCTCTCTCTCTCTCTCTCTCTCTCTCTCTCTCTTTATTTCTTTTTTTTTCTCTCTCTCTCTTTTTATTTCTTTTTTTCATCTTCACTTCGTTTTTTTTTACGTCTTTTATTTTACGTTTATTGTATTTTGTATATGGTATGTGTTTAATAATTATATTATGGGTTATGTTGTATTTTGTTGTATTATTTTTATTATCATTATTATTGTTATTACTATTATTATTATTATCATTATTATTATTATTATTATTATTATTATTATTATTATTATTATTATTATTATTATTATTATTATTATTATTATCATTATTATTATTGTTATTACTATTATCATTATTATCATTATTATTATTATTATTATTATTATTATTATTATTATTATTATTATCATTATTATTATTATTATCATTATTATTGTTGTTATTGTTATTATTATTATTATTATTATTATTATTATTATTATTATTATTATTATTATTATTATTACTATTATTATTATTATTATTATTGTTTTTGTTTTCATTATCATCATAAGTTGCTTTGATGATGATGATGATAAATAGTAATAGTCGTAGTAGTTGTTGTTTTAGAAGTAATAGTAGTAGCAGTAGTAGTATCATTACTGTTGTTATCATTATAATTTTCGAGGTCATCATTATTATTACCGTTTTCATTAGTATTGTCATCGTTATTAATATAATCATAATAATTATAATTATCACTGTTGCTATTACAATTATTATGATCATTATTGTCCTTTTCATTACCAGCATTATTATCATTATCATTTTGTTGCTGTTGTTGTTTTTATCGTCATTAGTGCTATTCTCATTATATCATTCTTTATCAGTTTTCCTTATTACTTTGTCTTCTTCTTTCTTCCCATTCTCCGTCCCTCCAATCCCCTTTCCTTCATTCCATTATTTTTTCTGCATTTTTTGTTTGTTTGTTTGTTTTATTTGTCCATTTCTTCGTCTTCATTTTTTCTCCCCTTTTTCCATTTCTTTACTCACTCTTCTTTCTTTCTCTTTTCCTTCACTACCTCCATTTCATTCCATCTTATTCATTACTTTTTATCTTTATCTTTATTTATTTTATATATTCTCTATTTATTCCTTTCCCCCATTGCCTCATTTTGTATCTCTCTCTTTCATTATCTTATGTTTTATCCTCCTTTCTCTCATGCCCCTTTCTCTTTTCCCTTTCTTCCATTCCATCACATTTTATCATTCTTACTTTTATGTCCTCTTTTCTTCACCCTTTCTTCCATTTCTTCCGTATTTTATCTTTCCTTTCTCCCACGCCCTTCCATCTCCCTTCCCCTTTCTTCCATTACCTCCTGTTTTATCCTTCCTTTCTCCCATGCCCTTCTTTTATTCCCTCCTCCTCTTCATCCTCGTCGACTTGTCTCGTGTTTAATCAGTCTTCGTGTCGCGTCCCTTATACACGGATCGTTTCCGAACCCCTTTTTAAACTCTTTCCCTTATACAGTGTGTTTGGATTCCACCCTGATTCTCTCTCGCGATCGTTTTTTGTTTTTTGTTTTTGAGGGTGTGTGGGAGGAGGGGTAGGATGGGGGGATGGAGGAATGGGGGGGAAGGAGGGAGGGAGAGGGGGATTGTTTTATCATTTATATGTATTTTTTTTATGGGTGTTTTTTTTTGTAGTGTGGTTTTGTTGTTTGTTTGTTTGTTTGTTTTCTATCTTTTATATTTCCGTTTTGAGTTGTTGTATATATGTACAAACACACACACACACACACACACACACACACACACACACACACACACACACACACACACACACACACATATATATATATATATATAGAGAGAGAGAGAGAGAGAGAGAGAGAGAGAGAGAGAGAGAGAGAGAGAGAGAGAGAGACAGACAGACAGACAGACAGACAGAGAGAGACAGAGACAGAGAGAGACAGAGAGAGAGTTATCTCTCCCTTTCTTTCTCCCACATTCTCTCTCTCTCCCCCACCCTCGCTCTCGGCGTGCGCAGGTATAAGGAAAAAAAGAAGAAGAAGAATACAGATTACAAGCGCATACGACCCGATTCCCTTTGTAGGAGATTAATGTTCGGAACGGCCTCTAAAGGAGGGTTGGAATCGGATTTATATGTTTTTGATTCGACGTTCTCTCTGCTCTTTTGGCGGGAAATACTCCTCGATGTTGGGGACTTCTGGTCCTTATGATTTTTCCCTTCCTTTATCTTTTTTCTTTCCCTTTTTCGTTTTTTTTTTGGGGGGGGAGGAGGAGGGGGAGTGTTAATGGTGGTTGCTTTACAGGTTTCGAAGATGATTTATCCTGGTGACAGGTTGTTGAAAAGTTCTCACGGTAAGGAGGGAGGTGGAAAGTCGCATTGGTACTTGTTCTCACTCTTTCTCTTTCTCTCTCTTTCTTTCTTTTTCTCTTTCTCTGTCTGTCTGTCTGTCTGTCTGTCTGTCTCTCTGTCTCTCTGTCTCTCTCTCTCTCTCTGTCTGTCTCTCTCTCTCTCT